TTTTTGGCTGCATCGTGTCTTAGTTGCAGCACGCGGGATCTTCACTGCGGCATGCAGGATCCTTCGCTGGGGTGCGCGGGCTTCTCTCTCTAGTTGAGGTGCACAGGCTTAGTTGCCCTGCAGCACGGGGGATCTTAGTTCCCTGACCAGGGGTCGAACCTGTGTCCCGTGCATTGGAAGGCGGATTCTTTACCACCAGGGAAGTTCACTTGACTTTTTTTTTTCCCCTTGACCTTTTTTTAAAAATTATTTTTCTTTTGCCCATGCCATGCAGCTGTGGGATCTTAGTTCCCCTATCAGGGATTGAACCCGTGCCCCCTGCAATGGAAGCGCTGAGTCTTAACCACTGGATCTCCAGGGAAGTTCCAATTGTGACGTTTAAATCTGTAGAACCATCACCACCATCAAGAAAATGAATATGACCATCATCCCCGCACGTTTCTTCATGCCCCTTGAAGTCCCTCCTCCTACCTCTCCACATCCTTCCCCATTCCTCTGTTCCCAAATGACCACAGGTCTGCTTTCGGTTACTATAGATTAGCTTGAATTTTCTAGACTTATATATAAATGGAATGATATGTTGCATACTCTTTTTTTTGGGAGGGGGAACTGGCTTCTTTTACTTAGCATAATTATTTTGATATCCATCCATGTTGTTGCATGTATCAATAGGTCATTCCATTTTACTGCTGACTAGTATTCCATTTTATGGATCTACCACAATTTGTTTATCCAGTCATTTGTTGGTGGACATTTGGGTTGTTTCCAGTTTGGGGCTATTACAAATAAACCTGCTATGAACACTAGTATAGTGTACAAGTCTTTGTATGGACATATATTTCCTTTTGGATAAATAGGATTAAAACATCTGGATCATACAGTAGGTGTAAGTTCAGCATTTTAAGAAACGGTCATTTTGTTTTTCAAAGTGTTTATACCATTTTACATTCCCATCAGCAAAGTATGAGAGTTCCAGTTCCTCCACATCCCCATCAATATTTGGTATAGTCAGTCTTTTTGATTTTTGCAACTCCAGTAGATGTGTATTGGATTCTCGTTGTGTTTTTTGTTTGTTTTGTTTTGTTTTGTTTTGCGGTACGCGGGCCTCTCACTGTTGTGGCCTCTCCCGTTACGGAGCACAGGTTCTGGACGCGCAGGCTCAGCGGCCATGGCTCACGGGCCTAGCTGCTCCGCGGCATGTGGGATCTTCCCGGACCGGGGCACGAACCCGTGTCCCCTGCATTGGCAGGCGGACTCTCAACCATTGCACCACCAGGGAAGCCCTGTTTTTTTAAAAAAATAAATTTATTTATTTATTTATTTTGGGCTGTGTTGGGTCTTTGTTACTGCGCGTGGGCTTTCTCTAATTTTAGTGAGCGAGGGCTACTCTTCATTGCGGTACGCGGGCTTCTCATTGCAGTGGCTACTCTTGTTGCAGAGCATGGGCTCTAGGTGCGCGGGCTTCAGTAGTTGTGGCACGCAGGCTCAGTAGTTGTGGCTCACGGGCTCTAGAGAGCAGGCTCAGTAGCTGTGGTGCGTGGGCTTAGTTGCTCTGTGGCATGTAGGATTTTCCCAGACCAGGGATTGAACCTGTGTCCCCTGCATTCTTAACCACTGCGCCACCAGGGAAGCCACTGATTGTGGTTTTAATTTATATTTCTCTAATTACTATTGATGTTGAACATCTTTTCAAGTGCTTGTTTGTCATTTGCCTATTTTCTTTCATGAAAATATTTTACCCTTTTTTCAAAAATTGGGTTCTAATTGTTGATCCACTTTAATTTTTGTACACAGTGTGAGTTAAGGATCAAAGTTCTTTAAAAAAAAAAGTAAAGATAGATATCCTGTTGTGCCAGTACTACTTGTTGCAAAGGCTGTCCTTTTCCCACTGTGTTGCCTTCTGTGCCATTGTAAAAAATCAGTTATCCATAGATGTATGGGCTTATTTCTGAACTGTATATTCTGTTTCACTGATGTATCTGTTTATACGAATACCATGCTGTTTCGATTATGTACTTTATAATAATTTTTGAGATCAGATAGTGCTAACTCTCCAATTTTCTTCATTTCTGAGTTGTTTTTATTATTCTAGGTCTTTGCATTTTCATATGATTCCATGTCTACAAAAACTCCTGCGGGGATTTTGATTGGAAATGCATTGAATCTATATATTTGAAGATAATTGACATCCTAACAATATTGAGTCCTCTAACATATAAACAAGTATATTCCTCTCTTTGTTTAGGTTTTCTTTAATTTCTGTCAGCAATATTTTGTTCTCAATTTATGAATTCTTCACATCTTTTGTCACATTTATCCCTAAGTATTTCATATTTTTTGATGTTGTGGTAAATGGTATTTTTACTATTTTCAATTTCCAGTTGTTCATTACAAGCATATAAAAAGGTAATTGTTGGGACTTCCCTGGCTGTCAAGTGGTTAAGACTTTGCATTGCAGTGCAGGGGGGTGCAGGTTCGATCCCTGGTTACAGAGCTAAGATCCCACATACCTCATGGCCAAAAAACCAAAACATAAAACAGAAGCAATACTGTAACAAATTCAATAAAGACTTAAAAAATGGTCCACATCAAAAAATAATCTTTAAAAATAATGCAAAAAATAATAATAATGCAGTTTTTAAATAATGCATTAGGACTCCATGCTTCCACTGCAGGGGGCCGGGTTCGATTCCCTAGTTGGGGAACTGAGATCCCACATGCCACACGGAAAAAAAAAAAAAAAAAAACACTGAAAGGATAAATCTTTCAATGATAAATATATGGAGCAAAAACTGCAAGTTGCAGATGAAATCTTACGCATTTATATGAATGCAAAACATGCTTTGTATTGCTTTCGAATACAGGCATGTAAAGTTTCAGGAAATGTATGGAGTGATCCACATCTCATTCAGGATAGTGACTGCCTCTTGAGGAAGGGGGGTTTCTATTGGCGAGGGAAACAGATGTTTCAGCCTGTAGGTTGATGTTTTGTTTTGTTTGTTTTCAGCTTAGGAGTGTGTTCACAGGGTTTCACTGAATCTCTGACGAGTTTACTATATTTTACATATTTTTCTTAAAAGAAAAACGAGCAGACGTCTAACGTTAAATTCCAGAGAGGTGATAATGTGGATGCCGAATGGTGAACTCGTGGCAAAGAAAAGCTGTGGAAGGGGGAGCTTCTGCATGGTCACGAGCAGTAGAGAAGCATCTTGATGCCCTTCTGGGGGGACTCAGAATCCCATAGTGTTGACCTTAGTGACTCTTGGATTCTTAGCTGGAGAAGATGAGTTAATCCTAGGATTTGAGAGCATAAGGTAACTTCAAGTCTAGCTGACTTGTGCTAGTTATTATACTATTGGTGACCCTACAACCCAGTTCATAAAATACCCTACTTGTTCCAAGTAATGTATTCTGGACTCCTCCTCCCTTTACCTTAAAAAAATAAAAAATTAATTAAGTTTGGCTGCATTGGGTCTTCCTTGCTGCGTGCAGGCTTTCTCTAGTTGTGGCCAGTGCGGGCTACTCTTCATTGTGGCGTGCAGACTTCTCATTGCGGTGGCTTCTCTTGTTGCAGAGCATGGGCTCTAGGTGCGCGGGCTTCAGTAGTTGTGGCTCATGGGCTCTAGAGCGCAGGCTCAGTAGTTGTGGCACACGGGCTTCGTTGCTCTGCAGCATGTGGGATCTTCCCCGACCAGGGCTCGAACCTGTGTCCCCTGCATTGGCAGGTGGATTCTTAACCACTGAGCCACCAGGGAAGCCCCCCCCTTTACCTTTCATTCTTATCTGGTTATGAGGAAATGGAACCAGCTGAAGCCCTTCACGTGGCATGGGGTGACCACATTTTGGGCACCTCTCAGAGGAAGGGCATGTCCACAGACAACCTAGATTCTCCTGCTGCTCTGGTCTCTCCCCACTCAGAAACCTCAGTAACAGCTCAGACGTAGACTTGCATAATGTGGCATCCAAGATGGCTGTTCGCCCCAGCGTTTGCCACCTCATGACAGAGAGAACAAGGTAGCATCCAACAAGCTGGGGTACCTGAAGTAGAAGAGGGCCTGGGTATGAGGGAAGCAGTATCATCACACACCTGTAACCGACTCCCCACCGGGCCTTGGTGAACAGCTCTGCATTGAGAGGCCTCCTCCATGCCCTTCCTTGTTCTGGGTATTACAGACTGGACTGCAGCCCATGATGCACAACCTTTAACCTACTGCCTGTTGGAGCTCCCTTTAGAACACTAACATTTCCACAATCTGACCACGGATCACCACCCACGGTGATCACTGCATTGGTACAAAGGTCACTCTGGTCCTTCCCTCACCCTCTTTAACTCTGCTCTCCACACAGAAGCCAGAGTGAGTGATCCTTTGAGGAGGCCAGAGCCCATGACTGCTCTGCTCAGAACCATGCCCTGGCTCACAGCCAGAGCCATTCCGATGCCCCTAAGGCTCTCTGCAACTGGCCACTCTCTCTCTGACCACCATGCGGTCCCCTCAACTAAACAGTCGAAACTAGGGTGGAGAAATGAACAGGCATGGCGAGTAAGGAGGAAGGGGCTAGGGAGCTCTGGGCAAGGGTCACCCCCAACACAGCTGGGAAGCAGGCCTCGGTCCAGCGGACTCAAATTCGTCTCGGTAACAAGGAGTAGGGCTTCATATGTGAGGGGAAGCTCAAAATTAGGTTCCTTGTCCGAAAAGGGTATCCTAACAACCACTTCCTTACAATCTTGTAACTACTGAACGAAAAGGAAAGTGCTCAGACTTCAAGTTCCCACTGCTAAGTGCGGCTACCGCGAGCCGCCGTTTTACGGACGGGCAAACTGAGGCTCGCCGACCGGCGATTTACCGAGGCCCCCTAACGTCAGGCAGCGGTGGCTGGGGAGCGCGGTCCGCGTCTGGGAAAGCACCGCCCGCCTCGCCGAGGTCTCTGGCCCAGCGGTCCAGGTAAATCCCTAGAAGGCGGAACTCGGAGGCCGAGCACCTCCAGGAACTTGCCAAGGTCTAACCGGAAGCGCTCCGCCTGGAACTACCACTCCCAGCAGCCTGCGCGGCGCGTCCCGGTCGACGCCGGGCCGTGGTGGTTGGGGGGAGCGACCGCCATTGTCCGTTGCTGAGGTGAGGCGGTCGCCCAGTCCGTGGGGTTGCTACTGCTGCCGCTGCCGCTGCAGCTGGCCGGGAGGTCGGGAGAACGGGTGGAGAGAGCCGACGCCTACGCTCGCGGCGGGCGCGACGCCAGGGCGGGTCCCTCGGCCCGCCTACGGCCTCGGGGCCGCGCTGGAACAACTGAGCGGGCCTGGGTGATCCCTGCGCGTCGGGCCTTTGTCCTCCGGGCGGGAACCCCAAACGCACGGGCGAGCCGGGCCGAATGTCCCCGGCGAAGCAAACGCGAGCTTGTTAAGTCGCCCGCGAAGAGCGGCGGGCACTGGCCCTCAGGGGTCCGAGGCCGGTGGCTGCGAACCAGGTGAGTCCGGCCGTTCCCGGGACGGGCTGAGAGCATCGCACCCGCGGCAGGATTGCGGAGGAAATCCGAGGCGGGGGGCCAGGAAGCAGGAGGCGAGGACCCCTCCGAGGCCGTTCCGGGGAATCCACCTTTCTTTCCCTGGCGGGCGTTTCTCGTACGAGTCCGTTCTCATCTGACGCAGAGGCAAGTCAAAAGGGGGTTGGGAACAGCCCAGGGCTCCTTTAAACGTACAGTGACCGAGGACTTTGTCAAGTTGCAGGCAAGAGTGCAGAATACTCAGTGTGCCGACTTGGAGTTCGGGCTCAGATCCCGGTGCTCCTGGTGCCCAGTGGGTGTCCCAGTGCTTTATGCACGCTCCCAGGAATCCGCAGAGCTCTGCCAGTGGGCGTCGGGCCCTCAGAGAGGTGCGGGACTTGCATAAATAAGCCTAGAACTTAGGGAGTTGGGGATGGTCTGGGCTCCAAACCCGGCTTTTTTTTGGCCTCTGCACCAGCAGAGACAGACAGACTTGGGCCTGGTAGGTCTTCCAGATGGATTTTTTTTTTTAAGATAAAATTTACGTAACATAAAATTAACCATTTAATCGTACAAGTCAGTGATTTAGTTGTGCTTTCAGAACGTTGTGCAGTCATCACCACTATATAATTCCAGAACATTTTCATAACAACCCCCAAGTAAAAAACCCCTGAACCCATTAAGCAGTCATTCCTCCGTTCCTCCTTCCTTTGTGCTCTAGACAGCCACTTACATGTGAAGGTTGTAGGTAGATTTTATAGTAATTTTCGTTAAATCAACAGAAGAGCTACCTTGTCGTTGTCAGTAGCTGCCTCTTGAGAACTGTTGACAAATTTCTGCTCTCTTACTCTGGAACGTGCCCATTTTTCAGCTAATTCTTGTCACCCTTCATTTCTCTTAAGAAATTCTGTTATGTTTTTGACGTGTAAATTGTATTCTTAAAATGCTCTGTAGGAGTCTTTTGTTGCTTCTGTGGATGTGTTCTCTTTATTCCCACTGGATCTTCTGTGAAGAAAGACCATTTTTTGTGTTTTTACACTTTTATCACTAGGTGGGTATTGCAGTTCCTTTCAGTAATCACCCAAATCCACTGCTCCTGGGCAAGCTCCTGGTGGATTAATCCTGCAGGATGGCAGCCATCAACCCGTGGGCTTCCTGGGGTGAGTACAAATCTTGTTTCTTCTGGGCCTCCCCAGCAATGATCTGCTGGAGAGGGGCTGAGGGCTTTTGGGATTGGGGAGGGGGGTGTCTCTCTGTCTTGGTATAGAATTAGAACTGAGTGAGATTTCTTTAAAAAGTTGGTTGTTTGTATTAAAGACAATAATTTTTGTGTATTTCATAGTCATCTTCTGAGAAGTCTCATTAAAGAGATTTTCTAGTGATTTGTGTGACTGTTGTACGTACAACCAAAATTTCTCTACTACTCCCGTATTTTTTTACTATTATTATTGTTTCTTATTATATAGCAGTGATTTATGATATAAGAACAATGTTAAAATAGTGTCAGTGGTGTGTTTTATCTTTAAGCAAGCTTTCATGTATTTGTTATTAAAGATATCAAAGGAATATCTTTCTACTAATATTTTTTAAAAATTAAGTAATGTTAAATTTTATCAAATACCTCTCCAGCCTATTTAAGGAGTTCTGTCCTTAATTGTTCTGTTGCTGTATCATATCAATAAAATTCCTGAAAGTGACCCACCTGTGCATTTCTGCTATAAATCTAGCTTATGTTGGGTTTGTTTCACACGTTCTTGGTCTCTACTTATGGAATTTTGTTTTGCGCATTAGTGAGACAGTTCTCCTTTTCCATTTGTAGCCTTTAGTCACTAGGATTGGTGTCACAGTTCTTTCCTTTCCTTGTCCTAACCGGATCCTCTGATGCAGGTATCTTTACGGACCAGTCCTGGGGGATGCCGGCTGTTGACCCGTGGGCCTCCTGGGGTGAGTCAAGAACTTTTGTCCCCGGACTTCCCTGGTGGTCCAGCAGTTAAGACTCCACACTTCCATTGCTGGGGATGCGGGTTCCATCCCTGGTCGGGGAACTATGATCCGACATGCCTCATGGTGTGGCAAGAAAACAACTTGTGTCCCCATCAGCCACATTGGTTAACATGTTGTGGCCTCTCCCAGCAGTAACCTGCCATTGCCAGGGAATTAGAGCTGGGGAGGAGGGGGCCAGGGGCGTGGGGTCTGGTCCAGCTCTGTGTTTGGGCAGAGCTGGAACAGAGAGGGACCAGAACACTCCACTGGGGCATACAGTGTGATGATATCTCCAGGACAGGATGCATGAGAATGAATGTGTGACCACTTAGGGCTCAGGCCTAGAAAGTCTGTGAAGAGACACTTTGTCTAAGACAGTGCCTCAGCAAGGGGAGATGGTTCATGTGCACATTCTTTAATTTCTCGGCCCCACTGCTTTCATCTATAACATGAGGAGGTAGGGTTTTTCCCTTGCCCAAAGGGGAAGGACAGAGTCAGGAGATGGGACTCATGTGGGCACACTTCTGGCAGGGAGAACTGCCTCTGTGACTTCACTTTTCCTCCCCCAGCTCTGTGTCCTCAGGACTCTACCTGGTGCGTGGAGAAGACCCCTGAGGAGAGAAAGAGGACCCCCAGGCTTCCGACAGCCCAGGCCCAGGTGAGATGGGGCTTCTGATCTTTCGCGAAGGGTTGCCCTGTTCCCTAAGGTGTTCAGGGTGTTCCCGGCCATCCCAGTCGATGTACTTCCTCAGTTTACCACAGCTAGGGTTTGGGTAGAGAAGGAATCAGCTAGAAGTTTATTGATTCCTGAGCACAGGTCGGGAGAATTCTGTTTTCCATGACTTGCAGCCTCACTGTCAACCAGCCTGTTTAGAGTCCCGAGCCCCAGCTGTGCTGTGGGCTGTTTGGTGGATAAGGGGCAACCCCCTTTTGGCTAGCAGCCCTCTCTTCTTTTTCCCTCCCACCTTCCCTCATGTATTCAGTGCCTGACTCAGATTGATGATGTCTGCTGAGCTCTGTGCTTACTGGGAGGAGAACAAGGTGAAGTGTTAGACCCCATCCTGAGGAGCTCCCATGCCACTTTCCAGGGTGGTTCAGTCAACTGCTGAGACCTCACCATCTGCCTAGTGCTGCACATGTGGTTCAGGACACAAGCCAGAGGTGCTTAGGGAGGCCCCGAGCCCTGGAGGAGCTGAGCACAACTGATGCCTTGGGAGAGTCTGCATAGAGGCCATGGGGCACAGAGCACCTGGGGTCCTTTTGCTGTGGAGAGGAGGCGGCCTGGGAGATAGGACACCCCTGAGCCAAGGGGTAAAGGGGACACGTCAGCCGGGTGGGCATAGCCTGCTGAGCAGGAATCTGGCCTCCTGTAGCACCATGGGGACACACTGCATGACCAGCATCTGGATGAAGGCTGACCATAATTAGATTTTAGGCCAAAGAGGCCAGGACAAACCCAGCCGCATTCTGAATGACCGCCACCGAGCTGGGTCTCCATCCTGGTGGTAATGAGAAGCCTCAGAAGTGCTGGGAGCAGGAGGAACCAGGGTCTAGAATGTGGCTGGAAAGTTGCCTCTGGCAGGGGAGTGGAGAGAAGGGGGGCTGTGGGAAGCAGGCTGGCGTATCAAGCTTCAGTCTGACCAGCACCTGGAAGCCAGATCTGAGAGGTATAAGGGAGTCGAAGCAGGAGGACTTCGTGACTGTAAGGACACAAGGGTGGCTCCCGAGAGAAATAGGGCAGCACAGTTCATGATGTTGGACAGGTGTCATCTCCCTCCTCCCCTCTTGCTCAGCCCCCTTACTTGAGGCAGCCACTTAAAAAATTTTTTTTAATAAAAGCTTTATTAAAATATTCATATACCATAAAGTTCAACTTTTTAAAATATGGAGTTCAGTGGGTTTTAGTATATTCACAGAACTCTGCAACCATCACCAGTATCTAATTCTAGAACATTTTCATCATTCCAAAAAGAAACCCTATACCCATTAGTAATTACTCCCTGTTGCCCCAACTCTCAGCTCCTGGCAACCACTAATCTACTTTCTGTGTATTTGCGCATTATGGGCATTTCATATAAAGGGAATCATATAATATATGGCCTTTTGTGTCTGGCTTTCAAGGGTCCTGTATGTCATATCGTTTATCAGTATTTTATTTCTTTTCATGACTTGGAAGTAGCCATTTTTAACTTATGTTTCAGTTTCTCACGGTTTTTTTCTAAATGAGAGATTTTTATCCTAGTTCTTCAAATTTACATGTACTCTAATGATTGTCTGCTGTGAAAGACAAAAATAGTTTTATTACTATATTTAAATTTTTCATTTCTAAGTTAAAATAATGAATCAAGCAAATGTGAGATACTGTGATATAAAAATGTTAATAACATCTCTGCTTAGCTTTACACCTCCCTCCAAGTTAAAAAAAAATTAACAAAACCTCCCACGGTTTCAAGGCTGACTGGTGAAGCACGTCGTGAGTATGCTGTCCCCACGTCCCAGCACTGCCGTCTCAGGTCTGAGCCGCGTAATGAGGGCATCACAGCTTGGGTGACTGGTGTTCGCTGCTCTTACAACGTGCGGTCATTTGCAGACAATCGATAGTGAAGCTAGACTAGGCTGAAAGATGGGCCCTGGTCGGTTGCTTGGGAGCAGAGCTTAGCTGTAGGAAGCGCTGTGAAGAAGTTCTAATAACCACTGTGCTGCACTCTGCTGCCCATTTATGTGAGGGTTTCTGAGAGTTACTAGAGTTAATGCCGAGAAAATAACATGGAGAATTAAAATAACTCCACTCTCTAATGTCTGAAGAGTTGTGATTTGTGAGCATGTACTCCTGGCCCCTTCCCACACCCACTTTGGATCTTTCCCTGTGGGAAACTCAAGACTTGAATGTGTGAGTTTTGTATTCAGTGAGGTCTTGGGAACACAAACAAGAGCCCCTTATCCCTCTATTGTTCCCTCCAAATTAAATATTTATTGAAATAAAGCATTCACCTGGTGAAAATATCAAATGCTGTCATCCCTTGTTATCTGAATAGTCCGATCTTACAAACATGTTGGTTAGTGAAGTTTCAGCTAGTGGGAGCCCATTATTTTGATGAATATGGAAAATAATAATAATATCCCAGCCCATATAAAAACCCCAGCCAGCACCCCCCCAAATATGGAAACTCTCAAACCCCCACTATAACAATCGACCAAAGATTTCTGCACAGTAAACATTCACATAAAACACCAATTAATGGAATACTCTGCCTCCGTCTTTGGTTGTCTCAAGGTTGAGCACAGTTTAGTTATATTTTCCTTCTCTGCAAAGAGCTTGCCCTAAAATATTAATAAATAATGAAATTCTGAAGATGCCAGAGAGTATATCTGAACTTCCCCAGGTTCCATGAAGGGGCCAGTTGTCAGAGAATTCAGGTAATGCAGGAGCAATCAGATGAGATCCTTAGCTGTCAGGCAAACAGCTAAGACCCAGCTCAGCACCCCCTGCATCCTCTCTTAAACCCTCCTGTAGTTTAAATGTGAGGCTGGTGTGTCAGATTTCATAAAGTGCCTTAGAATGTCTAGATAAACGACTATATTTGTGTACAAAGCAACATGTCCAAAAATGTTTACAAGAATTTGGGTGAAACATCTTTGCAAGTCATCCTGGCAGATGATATTTGGAAAGTAGGAGTTCAGGTAAGGGTTACCTGTGAAATGGAAGGGCTCACTCCTACCTAGGGGGTGGGGCCCTTCTCTGTTCTGCTTCCTTGCTCCTAAGCATTAGGTAACAGTGAGACTTTCGTCTCCCAGCCCCACCTCTTGTCTCCACAGCTGGTGAGACTAGGTGCCTATCTTCTGCTGTCTCTTCTGTTTCATCACCAGCCTCAGTTTTGCATTTTCTTTGCATTCCTAAGGCCTCCACGAATTGTGGGCACTGACATTGGGGCATATTCCACTGGGGGTCTTTTTTCTTCCTGATTGGCAGTCCATGGGCCCTTCCAGTTTTGATGACATCTCTCAACTCTGAAAATATTTTTTATTTAAATTTTTATTTTGACAAATTCCATAACTGCAGAAAAGTGTAAAATGATTAAACAGACAGGGTCCCACTCCAAATTAATCATCGTTAATGTTTTGCCATATTTGCTTTTCGTTCTTTTTAGTCCCCAATCACATTCTTTTCGCACCCTTCCTGACAACAACCACATAAGATACGTACATAGTTAATCCATTTTCATACTCATATGTAGGTAATAAACTATATAGACATTATAAGGTAATAGTCTGTTTTTTTTAACAATGCTTTTTCTACATGTAGCTTTTCTACACCTTTCAAGGTCAATTTTGAGGTCCATCCATGTGGTAGATGAAGGTCAAGTACATTCCTTTTGCCACATCAGAGATGCGCACTCTACTCATCTCTTCTGAGAATAAGCTTATAAGTCCTTCCTCCTTCCACCATTTTTCCTATTCCAAACAAAGCCCTGTGGAAGTTCTTATAGTTTTACTTTGTGCGCACATTTAAGTTTATCTAGGCATACCTTGGAGGCAGCACTTTGCTGAGTTTTAGGGTGTTTGTGTTTTCCGTGTGACCAGTGCTGCCACGTGGCTCTGAAAGGGCAAAACCCCTTCTCAGTCTCCCCACTCAGAGAAGGTGCCTATTTCCCTGCATCTTTGCTGCCATTTGACAATATTAATGTCGGGCCTTTTAATTTTTGTTTGCCTCAAGACCACAAAAGTTTATTGCATTATTTTAATTTGCATGTTCTTGATTGCTAGTGAGGTTGAATATCTTTAAATGAGTTATTGGCCATCTGTATTTCCTTCTTCTCTGTGTGTCTCCCATCCCTAGATTTCTGTAGATTCTCACATTAATATATAGGCATTGATGCTTTCTGGATCCTGAGTCTTTGCCGCATATGGATTATCTTCTCCAAATCTGTAGCTTGTCTCTATGGTGTCTTTTATCAGTGAAATGTTTTTTGGTATATTTTTGTCAAATATATCTGTCTTTGTTTATGGCTAGTGTTTTTTTTAAAGAAGTCCTGTGTTTTTAAAAAATTCCCTCCTGTTTTCCTTTATATTATTTTTCTGAGGCTGTCTGTTAGATGGCCCCCTGACTGCTGTGTTTTTTATCTCTTCTTCACATTCTCTGAGCCTCTCGTATTATCCTGTCCTATTTTATACCGAATCTTTCCAATCTGGGAATTAGAAGTATAGGTCATTGGAAGTTGGATGTGACTGCTGCGTGGATTCTCTGTCCTCTTAGCTGCTAAGTTCGGTCTTTCCACCTGTGCAGATGTTCCTCATGTGTGCAGGGGCCCTCTGGTCTGTCTGTGTTTACCAGAGAAGAGCTGTGAGGCTGTGTCTGACAGATCTGCTTTGTGCACCTGAGCAGGTCTGGTTCCTGATTGATCTGCCTCTAGGTCTCTGTCTCTATCTGTCTCTCTCCCTCCCTCCCCTGACAAGTCTCACTCTAATCTCCATGTTCCTCGGTGGGCCAGGATCACCAGGTCGGTTCTGCTTCCGGTTTCCTGGGTGCACAGCTGGCTGTTAGGCCACAGACCCCTCCCCTCTCCCTGTGTTGGGCTGAAGGGGTCTCAACTCCAGGGTAGTCACTTACCCAGGCAGCCTGAGAACCTCCCACACTCTTGAGTATGAGGAGGGTCCAGGGAGTTTTTCCCACAAGGCAAAGTGGCTGGCAGGGACGTGGGGCAACTGGCAAAGTCCTGAATATAGAGGTCCTGAGTATAGACCTTGCAGCCTGATTCTCCTGACTTCAGTGGCATGTAAGCTCGGAGCCCAGAGCCTCTCCTGGGGTCCTGATTCCCCTGCAGCCCCTTCTAACGTGCAGGCCTGGGGTCTCCTTTGCTCTGTTTCCTTGGTCAGCCACACTCATCTGCTCCCCGTCTTGTGGGAATGTGTAGAACACCACATGCCGACGGCCTCTTCGCAGGCCCGTTATGTCGTTTACTTTCTTAAAAAAAACTTTAGGAGATTTTAAAACCCTACGAGTTTCCTGTTGCTGCTGTAACAGATTACCACAAACTTAATGGCTTAGAACAACATGAATTTATTCTCATGTTCTGGAGTCTGAGGTCTAGAATGGGTCTACAGGGTTGTGTTCCTTCTGGAGGCTCAGGGGAGAGGCTGCTTCCTTGCTTTCACTCGCTTCTATAGGCCACCTGCCATTTCTTGGCTCATGGCCCCTTCCTCCATCTTCAGTGTGCATCACTCCGACCTCTGCTTGCATTGTCTCCTTTTCTCTGATGCAGACCCTCCTACCTCTTTCACTTGTAAGGACCCTTGTGATTTCATTGAGCCCACTGGATAATCCAAGATAGTCTTCCCATCTCAACATCCTTAACGTAATCACATCTCTGTAACTATGGCATCTTTTGTCATATTAAGGTAACAGTCATTAGGACATGGACGTCTTTGGCAGTGCCATTATTCAGCTGACGACAGACACCCACATTCACCAGCCTTAGCAAATGTCACCTTCCAGCTTTCTGCCTTTTCATTTATTCAGACAACCTTAAAAAAAAAAAAAAAAAAGAAAACCTAAAAAAAAAAAAAAAAAAAAAAAAAAAAACTAGAGTATTTTATAGTGAACACAGATACTGTATCATTTCACACTTCTGTGTATGTATCTGAGACATACATACCTTTTAGAAAATAAACACAATACCTTTACACACCCAACAAAATTAACAACAGTAATTCCCTACTGTTACCTAATACCAAGCCCGTATTCACTTTTCCCCACTTGTCCCCAAAATGTCTTTTGCAGTTGTTTATTCAGATCAGGATCCAAGCAAGGACCACACATTGCATGTGCTTCATATACTGAAGAAACCAGGTCACCTGTCTTGTTGGGTTGCCTGATTTTGCCTTTGTGATGTCCTTGGATGAGTTCCTCTATCCCGCTGTCTCCCATAGACTGGTAGTTGAACTAGAGGATAGGGCAGATTCAGGCTTTGTATTTTGGGCAAGAGTACTTGATAGGTGTTGCTGGGTCCTTCTTACTGTCCTGCATTAGTGGGCACAGGTTGTCTGGTTGGCCCATTTCCAGGTGATGTGATGGATTAGTGGGTGCAGTTATTGTCAGCCTGACCCCTCCATCGGACATTTCCCTTTCTGCCTTTCACCTGTGGTTTAGCAGTCATCGATGATCATTGCCAATGTCCACTATTTTAGTAGGGGTTGCAGAATCTCTAGTGATTTCATTCCTTCTGTGTCAATTAGATGTGGTGGTTTGTTCCTTTTTAAGTATGTGTATGGGGATCTGTTGGGGTCTTGGGAAGGGTGGGAGGTGAACTTGTGGCTCAGTCCACTAGCTTGACAGCTGCCACGGTGTGGGTTTGGACCTTGTTAACTATTGAACTTTGAAGCCATCTAAGTAGGTGCCACCCTTCAGGGAGATTAGGGAGCGTGAGACGGCCACACCAGGAGCACCCTGGGCAGGAAGCCTGGCCTCCCAGCTGGTCTCCCAAGTGTGATCACTCTGAAAGTGCATTGAGTTTAGGCATGGTGCACACTTCGGTTTTGTGCACTTCTCTACCCAAATGTTACATTTAAGTAAAAAAAGTTTACCCCAAAAATGTAGAAGCAGCAGCCAGTAAGGAAACTGAGGCCTGGGCATGTCTGTAAGAGGAAAATCAAAAAATTGGAATTGAGGTGTCCAAGGTTAGGGAGGGTTTCCCTAAAGGAGGTTGTGAATAGCAGTTGTAAATGCTTTTTGGAGTTAGAGAATCACTGGAGCAGAAGCAGTTCTGTGTTTCAAGCCAGTCATGTGCAGGTGGAGGAGGAGCAGTTCAGACCAGCAGAGCGAAGTCTACACTGAAGACCAGCATGAGGGCTGACCCTGGTCGGGGATGACTCGCAGGACAGAAAGGAAGGCCACATGCGGGTGGAAGAGAAGTGATTAGCAGGCTGTGAGGAAGTGGAAGGATGCTTGGAGTGGAAGCGCACTGCACGTGTATCCATTCAGTGGGTGTTTGTCCCGGGGATGATTCTGCACTGACATGGAGGGGAGGACCGTAGTGCACAGACAGGCCAAGAGGGGGCCCTAGGAAGGAGCAGGGGCTGTAGGGTTTGTCGCTCGCTCACCTCCCATGAAGCACAGCTCGCTCCCCAGTCCCCCTGCCCCACCCTGGAAGTGCCCAGATACCTGAGGCTCACGTTGATGGCTTCAAAGGACTGTAAGGGATGCATTCATTGCAAAAATAAGACTTCCCTTTAGCTTTCTAGTGGGTATTCCTGGTTCTCTTTTTCCTAAAAACAGCAGTTTGAACTTTTTCAAACTCAAAGTGCTTTGACAGCAACTGTAAGTGATTCTCTTTGGCTTGGGCTGCTTTGCTTAATCCTGTCTCACCTCTACCTCCAGTCCTTGGGTCGGAGACAATCTGGGAGTGGAATTGTCTCTGCTGTGGCCAGGAAGGCGGTCATCCTTCCAGGTCCTAGATCTACACGTGGAGCAGACTTGAGCCCCAGGTTCTCTGGTCTGTGACCAGGGCTCAGAGTCTGCATCCACCCTGGTCCTGGTATCGGTCTTATTAAGTGTCTGCAGTTCCAGAGAAGCAGGAGGTATTGCCCAGATGGGAGTCCTGTCCATACTAGCCAGTGTTAACTAGAATTGGGCAAGATCTTAGGAGAGACCTGCTCATCTTTATTGTGGTTATTGTGGGCCCAGGTATCTAACTCCCCGAGTACATCCCAAAAGCAGGGCCCTGGGTGGCTCCCAGTGAGACCTGACCCATGTCAGTGAGAATGTTGAACGCATCCAGGACAATTCCTCTATGTACTATCTCCTCCCCAGGGTTGTCACCCTCACTCCAGCCCCAGAAAACACTGGAGTGGGGGTAGCTCCGGGCTGAGGAGGAACATGTGTGCTCTTTTAGGAACCAGTGACCTTCAAGGATGTGGCTGTGGACTTCACCCAAGAGGAATGGGGGCAGCTGGACCCTGTTCAAAGGACCCTGTACCGTGATGTGATGCTGGAGACCTATGGGCATCTGCTCTCTGTGGGTAAGGCGGGGACTGCCCAAGTAAACGATGCTGTCCCCCTTGCAATCCCCTGTGCTACTCTCTGTTTACAAGCTTACGAGGCCTCAGAAGGGCTGAGATGATCTTGAGCCCTGAGGGATTTCAAGGACGAAGTCCCTATTGCTCATAAAGCATGAAGTGAAGTCATTCATGAGAAATAGGCAAGGGAGGGTTACATGGCTCTACAAGTCTGTGTTTTTCCTCCACATGTAGGGAATCAGATCGCCAAGCCCGAGGTCATCTCCCTGTTGGAGCAAGGAGAAGAGCCGTGGTCAGTGGAGCAGGCATATCCTCCTCAAGGCACTTGTCCAGGTGAGAGCAGACCCCAGGTGGGAGTGAGGAACCTTCCTCCAAGCCATCCTTGTTTGAGAAGTGGGCTGAGGCCGTGAGGAGTTCACTTCCTCAGAGACAGTCACAGTTCCTTCCAAGGAGCTTTATCCCTTATATTGACTTTTTTTCTGCTGTTGATTCAGAGCAAAGATGCCCACCTTTTAAACATGGTAACGGTTTTTGTATGCTACAGTTTCCCTCCTCACCTCTCATGTTCTCTCTGCTTTGTCCCTTTGTCTAAGAAGACTTCTCATTCATTTACCTGCTTTTCAATTTTTTATTGCCAAACTTGTGGCCTGTAGTCACTAACTTTTCTTTCAAAAAAACAACAAAAATTTTTTTTTAATATAGATAATGTATTTACATGATTCAAAAAACTCAAAGCTATATAAAATGTGTAAGCTGAAAAAACTCTCATTTATACTCTCTCCTCTTATCCACATTATTATTATTCTCCAGAGAGACACACAGATAGACACACAGACACACAGAGGCAGACACAGGTAACCACTTTCCTTTTACTATAAATTTTGGGGTTATTTTATTAGTGGTTGCCCTGGGAATTACAATTAACATCTTAATTTATAACAATTTAGTTTGGGTTACTATCAGTTTAATTTTGATAGTATACAAAAACTTTGCTTCTGTATAGCTCTGTCCTCCCTCTTTTGTGTTATTATTGTCACAAATTACATCTGTACATTGTGTTTCAACATAGATTCATAACATTTATAATTTATTTATAATTATTGCTTTATGTAGTTGTCTTTTAAATCAGATAGGAAACAAACAAAAAATGCATTTGTATGGTCTTCTTGTATTTACCTATGTAGTTACCTTTACTGGTAGTCAGTATTTCGAGTTAGTGTCTTTTCATTTCAACCTAAAGAACTCCTTTTAGCATTTCTTGTAGGGCAGGTTTACTAGCAGCAAACTCTTAGCTTTTGTTTATTGGAGAATGTCTTGATTTCTCCATTTTTGAATGATAGTTTTGCCAGGTATAGAATTCATGGATGACATATTTCTTTTTCTCTCTGGCCTCCGTGGTTTCTGATGAGAAATAAGCTGTTTATCTTGTTGAGGATCCCATATATATGATGACTTGCTTCTCTCTTGTTGCTTTCAGGATTCTCTCTTTGGCTTTGGCTTTTGAAAGTTTAATTACAGTGTGTATGCATGGGCCTTCTAGATTCCCAGGAATATGTTAGGACTTTTCAAATCTATGGACATCTCACTCCTCAGGTTTTCCTTTCATTTTCTGGTTTGTGTATTGTGTACCCCGTCTGTTTTCTGTCACCTCAGACAGTAACACTTTAAAACATTGCCATTAAATGTTTGACAAATACCTACTTCCTAGAAGTTTTTAGCGCTGTGCAAGTTCCCACAAGCCTTTCAAGTGGAGTCTTCCTGGGAACCACCAAACAGGTCAGATAATGACTGTTCTTTGGGAATGAGGCTTTGAAAAACCTCTAGCTTTGTTCTGTTCCTTCTATCACCAGAAATGTGAGCTGTTATTTTCCAAGGCTACTGCTGAGTTGAGGAGTCAGATGGGATTAGGGTAAGTTAAAATACCACAAAACTCACCGTTATTATTGAAACTCAGTTTTCCTTGAATAAACTCTCCCTGGGTTGCTGCAAGGCTTTGGTTAATTTAGAGAATTCTGAAGAAACTTATTCTGTCAGGTTTTGCCAGTTTTATGGTTGCTTTTATGGAGTGGTGAAATTTCACTGACGTCTTACCAAGGTTAATTACTTGCAATAATTTCTATTGTTTGTTTCCTGAGTTTTTTTATGCAACTATAAGCATATAGGCATATGTAGTTACTTTTCACCTTTCCAAAGGTAGAATACAATACACATCGTTCTGTATCTTGTTGTTTTTTATTTAATGATATACCATGGCCCCCTCTTGAGTCGTGAAGTTGGACATCTTCCCATCTAACGAAGTGAACTTTTGTGGAGTCTTACCAGTTGCCCCCTATCTGGATCTGAAACCTTCCACCAAGGAGTCATGAATTCCAGTAGCTTTAATGGTCAGTGCTGACCATTCTAAGTAACTGTCCTGAGCCCTGTGGTTCCACCACCTCCATCCTTACACTTCTGCCTTCTTGGAAATCATCTCAACGGTCTCCTTGATCTTGATAGAACCAGGAATCTCAGCTCTCCCTTCTAGATTGTTTCCCCTTCTTCCTGATCTGTATCCCTGATGCCAACCTTCTGTGAGTCTGCTAAGCTGGAAATGGGGAAGTCATCCTGACTGCCTGCTGTTTCCTCTCTAAGAAGTACTCTCTTGTCTGACTTCTGAGATTTTCTTCCTCTGAAATGTCAGCTGTGTCATTCAGCTTCCACCAACATCACCCTCAGGTAGGCACCCTCATAAAATTCCAGCTCAAGTTGGTGAGTGAATTATTATTTGTCATTAGCCCCCTCAGATGTTGCTTCTAGATTTATATCCCTGAAATCTTCCATTATGAGGTCTCTGCCAGTAAACCTACAGTGACTTGAGTTGCCTTTTAAATAACTCTGACCGGATTTCAAGACCTTCCAATTTTTTCTATTATTTTGCTCATTTCCTGACTAGTTCCTGCAGTTTACTCAGCTGGCATCCTTAAGGACCTCCTTACATTTCAGTCACATCACGCATGCCTTTGCTTATGCCATACCAGCAGTCTGTCTGTATTTGAGCCATGCCCGAAGACTGAGCTCATGTTATTTCTCTTGTGTGAAATCTTCCTTGATTGCTTCTGTCGTGGTCTCCTTTTCTGACCTTCCATCCGATTAGCATCTACAACCCCACAAACTCTCAGTGATGTAATGTGTGTATTCATAACTGTTTAGATCGTCACTTCATCACATAGATTATAATTTACAGGTTGAAGAGACACTCAGGCCATAAGTACTGAGTATGAAGCTGGACGGACATTGTTTATCTAATCAGTGACTTGGTCAGCTACCATTTTTTAAAGTTTCTACTGGAAAAATTCAAAAGTTGTTTGAAGATCATTCCCTAACTACTAGGAGCTAAGCTTAAAATTGATAGTAAGTGCCATTTCTTGAGCAGAGTAGGATCTCTCCTGTTGTAATGGACTTGGGTAGTAAAAGGGGGAAAATGGTGTATAGTGAAGAAGAAGAAAAACCTGGAGAAAGAGGACAAGGGTCTAGGCCCTGTTGGGTACCTGCAGCATTAGACCCTGTGGTATGCTGAATAATGAATCATACCCACCCCCGCAAAGTGTCCACATCTGAAACTTGTGAATATGGTGCCTTATATGGCAAAAGAGACTTTTTCAGATGTGAATTAAACTAGGGATCTTGAGATAGATTATCTTGGATTGTCTGGATGGGCCCATGTTATTGTGAGGTCATTCTAAGAGTGAGGCAGGAGTGTCAGAGACACAGAGATGTGACTGACAGAAGCAAAGGTTGGAATGATATACTTTGAAGATGGAGGGGGGAGCTACAAGCCAAAGAATGCAGGCAGCTTTTAAAGCTGGAAAAGGCAAGGATGTGGATTTTCCCCTAGAGCTTCTGAAGGAAAGCTATCTTGATTTTAGCCCAGTGAAAGCCATTTAGAACTTCTGACTTTCAGACTGAGACAGTGAGTTTGTTATTTTAAGCCACAACATGTGTGGTAATTTGTTACAGCAGCAATAGGAAACTAATACAGACCCCTGTTGTTGGAGGACTGATACCTCAGCAGTGATGATAGGTAGCTTCCACATATTAAATTTGCCAGACATTTTGCTGGATTCACAATCTCATTTAATCTTCAGAAAAGTCACGTAAGGATAGTGGCAGAGCCAGTACTTAAATACAGATTATCAGACTATAACTCCTGTATCTGCTTCATTTCAGTGTGCTGTCTTTCCAGTCTATCTCTTTTGTCATTATTCTACATATGTTAGAAGAACTTTAGGAGTATCCTGAAACCACGTGATTTTTGCCATTCGGGCGGATCATTTTGTGTTATTGACTGAACTCTGTGAGATAGGAAATAATGTGATAGCTTGAAGCCTTTGTTGGTGATACTTTCTCTTAACCCCATCCCCTTCTTTTTTTGGCAGGTGTCAAAGTAGGGGGACAGTAAGGACATAATAACATAGAAATGAATTAGCACACTTTAATAATTTAAACATTAGTTGCTGAGGGGCTGGTTGTTCATCTGTCTTTTGTTAAGCCAGTTATTATTTTTTCACCTTAATAGTATTAAATGCATCTGGATCCTCCAGACAACCCTCAGGTTCAGTGCTTCACTAGAAGGACTCCCTGGACTCAAAAGGCATTATATTCAGGGTAATGGTTTATTACAGTGCAAAGACACAAAGCAACATCAGCAGAGGGTAAAGGTGCATGGAGCTAGGTCTGGAGGAAACCAAATGCAAGCTTTCAGTAGTTCTTTCCCAGTGGAGTTGCAAAGAACACACTTAATTCCTTCAGCGATGAGTTGTGTGAAGTGTCATCTACTAGGGAAGCTTGCCCAAGCCTGTGAGTCCAGGGTGTTTATTGGGGGTTGGTCATTTAGACACACATGACTGACTGAGTAATCATGGAAGCTCCAGAACCCCAGAAGGAAGCAGGTGTTCACCATAAATGACATTGTTTGTACAAACTATCTAGAGAAGTTGGTACAGTATACTTCAAGGGTTCAAGCATGCAGAACACTCTTGTGAGTTAGAACATTCCAGGATCTCAGTCCTTAGGAGTTGGCCGAGGGCCAGTCATGAAACATGCCTTCTTGGGAATGTGCAAAGTGTGACCAACTCAAGTGTTTAGAGTTAACTCTTTCCTGCACACATGTAATAACTGGTCCTCCTTTTCATGGGAAGATACTCCTAAATGGGTTTTATTCATATTCAGTGCACATTTTGTATTCTGGTTAACTACTTTTGTTCACTTTTTACTATTCTTCTCTTTCCTATTACGATCTTCCTCTGGGTTACAAGTCTATTTGGAAACAAGTTCATGCTTACCTTTTCAATAATATGGACAGTAAATCTTACCTTTTCCACTCTACTCTTAGCAGTTCTTTCCCT